ATATCACCCTATAATGTATAATAAATATGACTCAATAAAATAGAACAGACAAAATAATAAAGCAGAGTAGTGTTCAACAGAATGCCATGAATAAAACAAAAATATAATTTGGTTAATATCAGGGATGAATATATCCACAGTAACCATGAAATAATGAAAGGATTAATACCTGGTAACAAATTGCTTGTGTCAAGATTTTGCTTGGCATCTATAAATGCCTAAAAGATAAGAATGTCACTGTAAACAGGAACCGCATTACAATCTCAATTGCAACAACTTGCCATGCAGTCAGTATTTTTTTGTTTCAGGGCATACAAATCAGTGATGTTCTCAATTGAATGGTCCAGAAATAGAATGATTCTCTTGAACCAACCATTAAGTCACAGCAGCAGTCCTCATCTTTTTCCAGTCTGGTCGAAGCTGAACCCTTATGATTTTATCTGATGAGCTTTTGAGATAATTATTTAATTTACAGAAATCATAGGCATTTCAACACAGAAGAAGCATCTTTGGCTTATCGTGATTGTGCTGTACTCCCACCCCCAGTGGAAGTATCCACTTAACTATCCTATTTTCCTTTTCTTTTTTTTCTTGTTGAATATAATATCTGGGTCATGATTCAGGAATATTCATCTTCTTATCATAGCATCTACGTAGTGGTTTCTTGAAGACGTGCAGCATTATTAATTCTATGCTGTTCTTCATTTTCATCAATGGCTGTTAATTGCCACAAAAATTGATATTCCATTCCATCTGAAAGATAACTGTTTGCAAAATTGGAATGAAATATACTGTAATGTATTATCTTCAATAATGGAAGGACCAAGACATCAAATGTTGAGAAAGGAACTCTGCAATATTCCCTTTACTTTATAAATTAAATTGAAGCTCTTCTGATTACAAATATCCAGTTTAATGCTTACAATATCTCAGTTAAACTAGAGCAACCGTGCTGCGGACAGCTGAAAAGCTGCAGTAGTTAATTCTGAAGAATTTTTTGCCTACCCTCAATAACATCAATGATTTACAAGGTCATTTTCACCCAGTGATGGAATATTGTAGTCTTCTCTGGCAAGCAAGGAAGAATACCAATTTATTGCTATTGAATTCAGTACCATTGAACTAGATAATGATAGGCCACTCTGTGCCAAAATCTATCTGCAGCAATAACCTAGCAATGTGGCCAGGTGTTAGTTTTCCATAATGAGCAATGCAGCACAACAGTCATTACCACTCAATCCAAACTCCATATAATGATAATAATAATCTGGGCATTTGATATAATCCCAATAACATTGAATCGTCACCTCAGAAATGAGCTGGTTCCAAAATGACTTGCTTGGCAAAGAAATGACAGGATTTAGTCAACCTTTTGTGGCAGTTCAGCTACTATTAAACCTGCAAGACAAAATCCTAATGGTTGGGTGGTTGTAGCTGGACAAGCAGCAGGAAGTTTGCCAGACACTGCTTTCAATGGCAAGCTGTACGGTTTTCGTTGGTAAACTTCCTGCAGTACCCAAACACACGCTCGGGGCCCCAAGCTTTGGCTCTCAACAACCTGTGCTTAATACTTTGTGGAATTAAATGAGTAAAATGAAACCCTACGGGAAGCAAGTCCACAGTCCGTTCCAGACATAGGGAAATTTCCATGCTTAGGTATCATACATATGTAGAACTTTTAGTCTGGTTTGGAAACTCTTAAGCAATGTGATGGGTTTCCGCATATGTTAGGTACACCTGACTGATCAAAATAAAAACAGTCTCAAAGCACTGGGTATTGCTGCCAGGTGTAGTGATTGTGTATTTGTAGGCAAATATGGTGACTATTTTGTGCAGTGTTCCACAAACAGCCATGACGTGAATGACAACAATGACCACACAGATGGGACCTTGGTTAACATATCGTCTGAAGGATGGCACCTCCAATAATGAAGCATTATCTCCAGTATTTGCACAGGCGCTTCAGCCTGGACTATGAGTTTGAACCCACAACCTTCTGACCCAATGCTACCAAAAGAGCCAAGCTAAGAAACATTCATGCTAACATCCATGATTTTAACATCAGAGTATTTTTTGGGGGGCAGGCGCATGGCTGGAGTTTATTATTATTTCAAGATAATAAAAGCTTCTCCCTTTCAAGCAGATATCATGCACGTGTATAAAAAGGCAGTTGATTGTGTGACTTTTCCCTCTGATGTGTGTTGTATTGCCCTGAGTGTGAGCTGCTTTCAGTTTGTTTGGGGGGCGGGGGAGCGGGAAGATTATAATTAATCCAAGATGATAAAATCTTTTTTTCCTTTCCGCAGATGTGTTGTTTCTCTCTTCCCTCTCCACTAGTCTGTTGCAGTTCCCCCGAGTGAGTGTGGGTTGCCTTGAGCAATTTCAATCACAGGTTTTACTGGGAGGGGAAAGAAAGGGTTGTTATGATTGCAAGATTATAAAATCACCTCCTCTTTCCACCAGGTGACATGTTTTAGTTGTGTTTCTCTTCCCTCTCTTTCAGTATGTGTTGAAGTTCCCCTGAGTGAGTTTAGGTTGCAGAGGGCAGTTGTTGTAAGAGTTTATGGGGGCAGAGTGAGGGAGGTTTTTATTAATGCAAGATGAGCAAATAGTCTGCCCCCTTTCCAGTAGATGGCATGTATTGGTTGCACTTCTCCTCCTTTTCCTGGTGTGTTGCAATTCTTTGAGTGTGAGTTCCAGTGAGCAGCTGCTGTCAGCTTTAAGTGGGGGTGGGGAACATAGGCTTATAGATGCAAGATGATAAAATCGTCTTCCCCCTTTCCAGCAGATGGCATGTGTTGATTGTGTTCCTGTACTGTGTTGCAGTGAGAAGTTGCTGTCAAAGGATTTTTGTTGTGCAGGAAAGCTGGTATCAATGCAACTGTTATTGATACAAAAAAAATGAACTCATGCCCCCCTTTCCATCAGATGACATGTGTTGTGTTTCTCAAGTGTACAGTACCCCTGAGAGAGTGTTGCAGTGAGCAGCTGTTATCAGAAGACTTTTGTTGAATGGTGGGGGGATAGGTAAAGTAAAATTTTAAACTCATGCCGCCTACTTTCTCCCAAGTATTTCTCCAGTATGAGCATGAGTGTCACAGACCCCTGAGTGAGTAAGTGTTGTTAGATGATTTTTGTTAGGTGAGGATAGGTAAAAGAAAAGCTGTTAATAAATATAAAATGACAACTAAAGCCCGCGTTTCTCCAGGGTGAGCGTTGCAGGCCTTCTGAGTTAGTCATTGAGAGTTGCAGTCCTCTTAATGAGTAAGTGGTTGAGAATTGCAGTGATTTTCTTTGGTCAGCCGGGTGTCTTGACACATGGGGAAACCAATCACCTTCACATGGAAATCCCAGAGATAGATTGTTGGGATGGAATGCACTGGAGGGACGTATCCTCTTTACCTAATTCCTGAAAATTTTAGGCGCTGGTTGGTAAGATCCAAGTCTTGTGGACCCCAAAGTGTGTCTAACCAGCTAAAACCACATAGCTTGCCATTGAATATTGCTGTCTGGGAAGCTTTCCCACTGCTTGTCCACTAGCAGGAACACCCTACCCATTAGGGCTTTGGCTGCAGGGCTAACAGGTGCTGAGTGGGTGACTCCTTGCCCCCAGTGACCGGTCTGCCCTTCCAGGTCCTACCAATTAGCCAGGCTGGCTGTGCTGCCATCAGCAGTGCCCTGGCTCAGGAACTGGACTACTTAGACCACCAAAGGGGGTGGGTTCAATTCTGACATTCCTGTGCCAGGCATGTCACCATTGGAGCCATTTCAGCTCCAAGGAGAGCCCACTTACCTCCCCACCCCCCCCCCCCCCCCCTCCCCTCCTTGGTCCCCATCCTGGAGGATAGTCAATTGTAGGGAGGATTTCAGTCCTTCTGAATGAGTGAGTGGGTGAGAATTGCATTGAGCTTCACAAACTCTCTGAATAGGTGAATGAGTGAGAGAGAAAGTGAGGATTACAGTGAGAGTTACAGACTGAGTGAGTGAGGGATACAGTGAGAGTTACAGACTGAGTAAGTGAGGATTACAGTGAGGGTTACAGACTGACTGAGTGAAGGTTACAACTGAGTAAATGAGTGTTACAGACTGAGTTAGTGAGGGTTATAGTGAGGGTCACAGTGAGGGTGACAGACTGAGTGAGTGAGTTAGTGAGTATTACAGTGGGGCTTACAGACTGAGTAAGTGAGGGTTACGGTGAGAGTTACAGACTGAGTGAGTGAGTGAGTGAGTGAGGATTACAGTGAGGGCTACAGACTGAGTAAGAGAGGGTTACAGACTGAGTGAGGGTTACAGTGAGGGTTACAGACTGAGTGAGGGTTACAGTGAGGGTTACAGACTGAGTGAGGGTTACAGTGAGGGTTACAGACTGAGTGAGGGTTACAGTGAGGGTTACAGACTGAGTGAGGGTTACAGTGAGGGTTACAGACTGAGTGAGGGTTACAGTGAGGGTTGCAGACTGATTGAATGAGGGTGACAGTGAGGGTTGCAGAGTGAGGGTGTGAGTGAGTGAGGGTGACAGTGAATGAGTGAGGGTGACAGTGAGGGTTGCAGTGAGGGTTAGACTGAGTGAGTGAGTGAGGGTGTGAGTGAGTGTGACAGTGAGGGAGTGAGTGAGTGTGACAGTGAGGGTGTGAGTGAGTGAGTGACAGTGAGGGTGCGAGTGAGTGAGTGTGACAGTGAGGGTGTGAGTGAGTGAGTGAGTGTGACAGTGAGGGTGTGAGTGAGGGTGTGAGTGAGTGTGACAGTGAGGGTGTGAGTGAGTGAGTGAGTGTGACAGTGAGGGCGTGAGGGAGTGAGTGAGTGTGACAGTGAGGGTGTGAGTGAGTGAGGGAGTGAGTGAGTGTGACAGTGAGGGTGTGAGTGAGTGAGTGTGACAGTGAGAGTTGCAGTGAGCGGCTGCGGTCAGAGGAGGCGCTGTGTGACTGTGCGGTGACTGTGCGGTGACTGTGTGTCGGGGCGGGAGGGGAGGAGGGGGGGAGTGAGGGAGGAGGGAGTGAGGGGAGGAGGAGGAGGGGAGTGTGTTGTGGCTCTGACTCCGGGGTTGGTTGGGATCGGTTCAGTCTCGGGTGAAAATGGCCACCGGCAGCACCGGGGGAGGCAGAGCGGGAGCGGCACCGACCCCCCCCCCCGGCACCTCACAGGGGCCCTGTCTGTAAACCCCGGAGAGGAGAGAGAGCCCTCGACACACACACACACACACACACCGGACGCCCTTCTCTCCGCTCCGCCGTGTCCTGGCGGCGCCTTTCTGGTCAGTCTTTAACTTGTTTATGAACCCTCCGGGTCTGGGTCTGGGTCCAGATCTCCGGTCATGTCCGTCCTGGTGTAACAGCAGCTTATTGTATGTCTGTGTGTTATATAATACCTCTGTGTGTGTGTGTGTGTGCGCGCGAGAGAGAGAGTGTGTCAGTCGCTGTGTGTGTCGCTGTGTGTGTATGTGACTGTGAATGTCTGTGTGTGTATCACTGTGTGAATGGTGTGTGAGACTGTATCACTGTGTGTGTGTGTATCACTGTGTGTGTGTGTATCACTGTGTGTGTGTGTGTATCACTGTGTGTGTGAGGTTGTGTGTGTATCACTGTGTGTGCGTATCACTGTGTGTGTGAGTGTGTGTGTATCACTGTGTGTGTGTGTATCACTGTGTGTGAGGTTGTGTGTGTGTGTGTATCACTGTGTGTGTGAGGTTGTGTGTGTGTGTGAGGTTGTGTGTGTGTGTGTATCACTGTGTGTGAGGTTGTGTGTGTGTGTGTATCACTGTGTGTGTGTGTGAGGTTGTGTGTGTGTGTGTATCACTGTGTGTGTGTGTGAGGTTGTGTGTGTGTGTGTATCACTGTGTGTGTGAGGTTGTGTGTGTCTGTATCACTGTGTGTGAGGTTGTGTGTGTGTGTGTATCACTGTGTGTGAGGTTGTGTGTATCACTGTGTGTGAGGTTGTGTGTGTGTGTGTATCACTGTGTGTGTGTGTGAGGTTGTGTGTGTGTGTGTGAGGTTGTGTGTGTATCACTGTGTGTGTGTGAGGGTGTGTGTGTGTGTGTGTGTGAGGTTGTGTGTGTATCACTGTGTGTGTGTGTGTGAGGTTGTGTGTGTGTGTGTGTGAGGTTGTGTGTGTATCACTGTGTGTGTGTGTGAGGTTGTGTGTGTGTGTGTGTGAGGTTGTGTGTGTATCACTGTGTGTGTGTGAGGTTGTGTGTGTATCACTGTGTGTGTGTGAGGGTGTGTGTGTGTATCACTGTGTGTGTGTGTGTGAGGTTGTGTGTGTGTGTGTGTATCACTGTGTGTGAGGTTGTGTGTGTGTGTGTATCACTGTGTGTGTGTGTATCACTGTGTGTGTGTGAGGGTGTCTGTGTATCACTGTGTGTGTGTGTGTGAGGTTGTGAGTGTGTAAATCTGTGTATAAAGTGTTTTTCTCGTTTTCCTTAAAAAGATATACAATCCCAGTGATGTTTATCCCGGTTTCCGGCCGATACAGTTTCCGGTGTTCAAAAAAAATGCCAACGGCTGAGATTTACTCCTCTCCCCCTCCCCCGTCCCCCCCCTCCCTCACCCCCTCCTCCCCCTCACCCCCCCCCCTCCCCCCCTCCTCCCTCACCCTCCCCCCCCTCCTCACCCCTCACCCCTCCTCCTCACCCCCCCCCCTCCTCACCCCTCACCCTCCCCCCCCTCCTCACCCCTCACCCTCCCCCCCTCCTCACCCCTCACCCCCTCCCCCCTCCTCACCCCCCTCCCCCCTCCTCCCCCTCCTCACCCCTCACCCTCCCCCCCTCCTCCTCCCCCTCCCCCCTCCTCACCCCCCCCTCCCCCCCTCCCCCCTCCTCACCCCTCCTCACCCCTCCCCTCCCCCCTCCTCCCCCTCCCTCCCCCTCCTCACCCCTCCCCCCTCCTCACCCCTCCCCCTCCTCACCCCTCACCCTCCCCCCCTCCCCCCCTCACCCTCCTCCTCACCCCCCCTCACCCCTCACCCTCCCTCATCCCCCCCACACCACATCCCTCCCCACCCCTCCCCCTCCCCACCCCTCCCCCTCCTCATCCCCCCCCCTCCCCCCCCTCCCCCCTCCTCACCCCTCCCCCTCCTCATCACCCCCTCTCACCCCTCCCCCCTCACCCTCCTCATTCCCCCCACACCCACATCCCTCCCCCTCCCCACCCCTCACCCTCCTCACCCCTCCCCCTCCTCATCACCCCCCCACACTCACACCCTCACCCACCCTCATCCCTCATCCCCCCCTCACCCCACACCCCTCCCCCTCATCCCCCCCACTCCCCCATCCCACATCCCTCCCCCTCATCCCCCCTTCACCCCACCCTCACAAACACCCCCCTCACCCACATCCCTCCCCCTCATCCCCCCCACCTCCACATTCACCCCACATCCCTCCCCCGCATCCCCCCCACCCCCTCATCCCCCTCACCCCACATCCCTCCCCACAACCCCCCCTCACCCCACATCCCCTCCCCCACCCGCACATCATCCCAAATACCCCCCACTCCTCCCCCCCTCCCCCCACATCCCCTCCCCCCACCACCTCCTCCACCCCCCGCACCACCAACCCCCTCCACACACCCCCCACCACCAACCCCCCCCTCCACCCCCCCCCGCCACACCCCACCACCTCCCCACCTCCTCCCCACCCGCCCCCACCCACATCCTCCACCTGCCCTCACCCAGATTAGCTCCCACCCCCAAATTACCTAAACCCCTCACCCCCAGAGATTTTCAAAATATACAGTCAATTCACTTTACAGTATATTCTGTGAAGCGCTTAGAGATGTCTCGAAGATTTGATAAGGTGCTATTCAAATGCAAGGATTATTCACCCCCTACAGAGATTCCCTCCCACCTCTGGAGATACCCACCTGGTAGCCCTCTACGCCTTTCTTGCCTTTGCTCTCACTTTCCCTCCCTTACCTGCACCCAACAGTGACCTGCGATTGCCATCCAGCCCCCCCTTTCCTCCCACTCATTGGTGATGATGATCCTTGCATTTGTCATGCAGTTTGCACCTTATCGTACAGTTGAAACATCTCAAAATATTTAACAGGATTTTATTCTAGCGTAGTGATGATATTTATGCGCAAATGTTGCAGCCAGTTTATTCACAGCAATGTCCTACAAACAGCCAAGAAGTGAATGACCAATTTTATCTGGAGGATTGTTGTGCTGGATAGTGGGAGAAACACCTTTCTCTTTGAATGTTATTATGGGCTCTTTAATGTCCACCTAAATAAGCAGATGGAAGGGACCTTGGTTTAAAGGCTCATCCAAAGAACTGCACCTCTGACATTGCAGAGTTCCCTCATTGTACTGCAGAGCCATCTAGATTGTGAGATTGGTACAAGAAATGGGATTTAAGTGCTAAAAATGTTGCCTTGCTGAGCATCCCTGTATAATTTGCCATGTTCTCTACCCACCAATGGACTTGATCTAACTTGAAGTCTTGTTTTGAAAGAGTGTTTCTCCTTTTATTTGCATATCAATAAAAAATCCAATAAACAAACTTTTATAATGTACAGTGCCCGTTCTCTAAAGTGGGACTGTGTTACATGTAGTTTTCTGGAACTATTTTTTTTCTAATTCATTCTATGGTATTATAAGTGGAGCTGATCTGGAAGTTATTTAAAAAATGTAAAACAGATGGGAGAATGATACATGTGTTTGCTTCAGTCATCCATTTTGCTTTTCTCTAATACCTACCTATCTTTGCCTTCCACTTTTGTTTATGATCTATTTTTGAGGCTTGATATCGCAGACAATGATGTGGGTAGGAGGGAGTGATATTGTTGTATGAAATAGATTCATCATCTGGAAAGTGATGAATATCATCAATATGTAAACTAATCTTATCGTTTTACTTTATTCTGTGGCATTCCTACATCCGGATCTTAACTAACTGTGATGTGGGAGGATCTTAATGCAGTTTTAGCACAATAATGGGCTGAATGGCCCTCTTCTGTGCTGTAAATTTCTATAGTTCTAAAATATTATGAGATGACCAGCAAATGCAAGATCCTTTAATGTTGCAGCAATCAGTTTGTAATGTTTCTGAATGAATGGATGATTCAGATATTTTCAAAAATCCTTCGAAAGCTCCTGCCTGAAGACATCCCAAGCACATACATTGCTTTTGTATATTTTGCTTTGGGAGAAGGCTGAGGCTAACCGGCGCCTAATATTTCTGGATTTGAGTAAGTGTTCCTCCAGGGAGAAAGTGTGTATTCCATTCCCGTTGTAGGGAAATTTCAATGCATAATTGGCAAACGTATATGGGGCTCTGTTTGGTTTGGGCATTCTTAAGAATGGTGATTGGTTTCTGCGTGTATCACACACCTGTCTGACCAAAAAAAGTAAGGGATCAGGAATCCTATCCAAATCTTTCTCGCTTCAGACACAAAACTCTGTTGTAGCACTCTTACCTGCTGCCCCAGTTGAGAAGCTAATGCAGCACAGACCAGAATTGAAACCCGCGACTTTCTTGCCTGTGTGAATGGGTACTAAATTGGGCAGTGCCTTTACTCACTAGGCCTGTCATGGGAGCCCCTTCATTCTGTACATTTTTACATCCTATTAAATGCAAGATTTGCTGAAGATTTTTGTAATTAAAATATTCTAACAATGGTCACAAAAGCAGTTTGTGGTAAGCACGTGTTAACAGTAGCTTGATAGATAGTTCAAGTGAATTTGCTGCATTGTGAGGCCTGTGTTGCAGTCTGTGCTTGCCTGGCGTGGCTAGGAGATTAGATATCTTTTGTTTTTTTTCATAGTGAAATATTGAGCTATATTCTCATTTTGCACAGAATATACTTGCAATTTTTTTTAATGCATTTCAGTTTTGTTTCTCCTTTAAGTATCAGACTCAATCTATTGATGTGTATTTCTCTGCATCAGGAGAGCTGAGGACCTAGTGTCCCTGTGAATCTGACAATTGTAGAATGTGTGAGACTAATAATTGCTCGTCTTAATTCAGTACTTTTCCACTGTGGAACAGCTCAGCTTCAAGGAATTTCAGGTACAGTTTCAGCCCATATTCTCTGATTCCAGTACTGCTGGATTTCCATTAAATATTGCTTGTTCTTTTCCCCTGCTTCAGCATCATGTAATTTGAGGCTGATTGTTGCAATGCAGTGAGGGTATTGATGTTAAAATAAAGGTTTCCAATTCTCCTTTACTGCAGGCTTTCTGTAATGCTTAGTAGAAGTTTTGTGATAGGTTCTGAAGGTGAGGAGCCTGCCTAAATTAATGTAGTAATTGAAGTAT